ATGTATTTTTGAGTAACCAATTTGTATAAACTGAATATTTTATTTTATAGTATTTACTTTTTAATTTAATAATAAGTAAATTCAGATACTAAATCTTTACAACTTTCAATAGCTTAGATAAACTCTAACCAACTTCACGTGTGTATTTATATCTTTGAATCCTTGCAGTTCCTAAGCCAGTCTATTTGTCTGTTGCTTGTATGATGACTTGAATGTAATGCCAAATATTGAATTGATTGGCAAATACATTAAATTGCATCTAAATCGAATCAATCAATAAATTGATTTAATTAAACTAATTGAAAGGAAAAGTATTGAATGGTATTTACCAGGAAGAGAAGTACTTCGTTGCACATTGCCAACTACAAACATTGGTGGAAAATATTGGAATTTGACAGTGAGCGCGTATTTAGAAAGCACTCCTACATACTACTAATACGCAAATAATAATATTACTGCATATGAAATACTCTAAAACACTTAATAATATATTTCTTATTTGAGTGTATAATTAATTTGCCCCAACGAGCAAGAGTATACATTGATATTGTGTGAAAATTCATATCTTAAAGCAAATCTAATCAAAAAGCAACAAAGACTATTTTAGATTTAAATATTTCTGATAACATCAAATACTCAAATATATGCTTCACGTAAACATTCAAAATTCAACCCGATTATTGTACACAAGTAATTGATTTAACAACTAATTATGGGGATTTTAAATAGATAATGGGATTAAAATTGTGAATAGCCAAAGTAGTTTCACAAGCACCAACATATGTACAATGCAAATATAAACCAATAAATGGATTAAGATGGATTAAGAAGAGTCGCTATAAATATACTAAAAACTCATACTATTGGACGCACTTGGACCACACTTATGTACACCATTAAACTACAACTTAATATAATGAAATCAATATTTTCTTGATAATGAATCTCGTTCAGTATTAAGACTCGATACCATATTTAGCTGCTTGTCTTTGAATATTTTCTTAGCAGGTTTCAGATCATCTCTAATGCTCGATTAAAATACACCTTTTTGCTACATCAGTTGGCAAGTCTCAGTATAGTTCAATTGTATGGAATACAGTAGCCAGCGACTGTAGCCTAATCGTGTTATTAGGTATTATTTGTCATGTATACATTATACTAATGTACTGATGGAGACGTATTTTGTTTCAGATTATAATTCTTAGCTGAAATACGATTTTGATAGACGGACTAAAAGGAGATCGGTACTTTTCTTTTCAACACCTCTATAATGTCATTTAACCGTTATGAATTTAATTTAAATATATTTAAAACTATTTAACAGATATTTTCGATCTTCTTTCTAGAGTTACAGCGTGATTAAGGCTATAATACCATTTTGTATTGTCAGGTCTATAAGACTTTGAATGAACTGAAAGTGAAAGTGAAAACTTCTTCATTACAAGTTTTTTCAAAATATCGAAAGTCAGTTTAAAACTGATTATTAGCTTGGGAAAATAATGCCGTCAAATTTTAATCGATTACTTAAGAAGATTAAAAATACTAATTTATAACGGATTTTTTGAGAAGTAGTTTTCTCAAAAAGGTTTTTTTCCAAATGTGTATATTAAATTTAAATTAACTTCTCCTTATATTATCATCATCATTGTTAGTTCGGACCGAGGTTTAATTGTCATAAGGGATCTCTACAACTGTTATTGGGTGTTGCCCATCAATTGTTGAGCAGATTCTGTATCATCTGCTACGTTACGTTACATCTGCTACAGCTTATAGCAGAGTAAGGGCGCAGCTTACTAGCGGCTGTTGCTTACTAGCGGATGTTGGGCTACATCCGTCATCTGTCTATATTTATTAACGGGTTACTTACTGTCTCATTTGTCTTCTTTATTCCACGAGGTGTGATTTTAATATTTCGTCAAATTTATTCTTCACATCGACACTTAATAACATATACCGACTGCCCATTTTAATCGGATGGTTTTAAAGTTCATGTTGATATCTACTTTGTCATATAACAAGTACACAATTCGTTTGAATACATAAATAATTTAGTGCTTAATTGAAGTTTAGTATTTTGAATTTTCAATGCAGATTCCAATAAATTTTTCATAGGGTTTCAGATCAGTATTATAGATACTGAAAAATTTAAATGAATTTTCCCAAATATACATTCAAAACTATTTCAGTCATTTGCTTAATGAGATAATTTTTGATTCAATGCAGTTGAGCATAAGTCATCAATAATACATATCAACGATTTGGTTCAAATAGCGAATGCCATGACTAATTAAGGCTCAAAGTCCAGCACAAAGTGATTTAAGTACTTTTATAATTGTAATTAAAATAAAATTGTGTTATTCCATATATAATTTGGCTAATCGAGGACCGGGCAATATTGAATTGCAATTATGAAACCATAAATGCCGTTTAGGTAATTACACGAGTGCAGTGACATTTGCGGGGCTGTTGCATTTTGATGCTGCGTTTTTGTGCTGATATTGAAAGCTAATTAAGATCCATCCGACTTCACTGCATACACAAAGAAATGGCAAACCATAAATCGCATTTCAGTTGTCACTAATCATTTAAATTAATGCCGGTCTACTCCGTTCTCGCCGCTCCTACCGCTCCTACCGCTCATCGGTGCAATGAGCCACGCATTTGTGGCAATGAGAAGTAAACAATATTTATACACAAATTACAATATTCTGTGGTTGTATTGGCAACTAATCAATATTATAGTAATTATCCCTGTTGTTGGTGTTGCTGTTGTGTTATCCTTTATTATCCAAAACATAAATTACGGGTTCATTTCGTTAGTAATAGATTTTTGTTTAATTCCATTTATTTTCGAGTGTGCTTCCATTAATTTATTTACATTTGTTCGGAATATTCGCAATTTTGGTTAAAATTCGTAAATAATAAATTTAGATAAACAAATATTTTACTGATGCGATAAAAGTATGATTTTTGGCATTTGTGGAATAGTACCATATTGCGTTGGGTTTACATTTTTTTAATTAATATTTTGTCAATCAATCAAAAATTATTTTGTAATCTTTAAAGTAGTCGGCATCGAGTGCAACACAACAATTATGATGTTTGACCTGCTCCTGCATAGATTTTTCTTAGGATAACAGAGGAATGGTCTCAGCAACTTTGAAACGATGGTTCAGAGCTGCATTTCTCTTGTGGTTATAGTTGTCAAAGTCATTTTAACTACAAGATTAAAATAATCATCGTTGCTATTAACAACTGATTTGAAGCTATCTCATTACGCCATCCTCAAATGGCTTGAAAACGGTTGTGCTGATAATGAAATATATCATCTATATATACAGTTCTATGCAATACTGCAAACTATAGAGCAAGAATCTTCCCTAAAACCAGCTTTTATGTCAAGGTTAAAGTCAGTTGCATCGACGAATACTTCTTATTGCTTGACTCGAAATACCTAAGTCAGCTATATAACTTTCTTTCACATATTTTTATTTCAAGCTTAGTTTCATTTTAATTGATATCACAAAATATCAACCATGGTCTTAATGCTTCGCTTTTTTATGAGTCAGTATTTACTATTGAAAATTTGCGGGTCTATGTTCCTACTAGGAGTTAAAGAAATTAATAATATATATATTCAATATTGAATTTAATTGTTTGATTAGTAATTTTTATCACTTTTTATCTTTCACATAGTTCCCCTTTAGTTGATATCACAAAATATCAAGCATGGTCTTAATGCTTCGCTGTTAAGAGTCAGTATTAAATGTTAAAATAAATAGCATAGATAAGTACAGCCTATTATTTGCATGCTGATACCCCACCTTGTTAATTAGCCTTGTTTCAAATGTTTATATCCATTATTTACCTTTGTTTTTACCATAGTCTCAATGCCTCACTTCATTAAAAGTCAATATCGTGTTAATATATGTTTCGGAAGTACAAACTCTCCGTAAATCTTTTAACTCGATTTCAATGATGTGAAGTCCGTTGTTCCTATTATCGCTTGAACCGTAGTTTTCGAGGCCTGGGATATAAAGTCCATACAAAAGATACTTCCCATGATTGTCATAATTAACCTTTTCCCTCACCAGTTTTAACTACTATCTTTTCTGGCTTAGATATATTTAGTTTTGTATGAACCTTAACTGTTACTCTTACTCTTAACACTTGATCCTTCACGCTCCTATGACTGGAATTTTTTGTTATGTATTCTTGGGAAATGCTTCTAACGAGTGGTTTTCTACCACCAGTTTCCTCACCATTTTGAACTACTATTTTTTCTGGCATAGATATATTTAGTTTTCTATAAACCTTAACTGTTACTCTTGACTAATGGAATCTTATTTTTAGCACTTGATCGTTCACGATGGTATGACTGAATTTTTTCGTTATGTATTCTTGAGAAATACTTCAAACGAATGGTTTTTCGACTACTCCGAAAAACTTTAATTCGCTGAAAAGTTAAAAAATAAAGCCTCACCTAAATTGTTTTCAAATTTTAATTCCGTGGTCGACTAGGCAAAGCATACCTCACTAGACAACCAAAAAAAAACTAGACATATTTAAACTGAAGATATTTGCACAGAAAAATTAATTTACAACAAATATAATTATGAAAATTGTTTTCAATTAAAACATGAATTCCTTTCTGAGAAATTCCATTATACATAATTTTGTGTTTAAATGTAATTTCTTTTTTTAAATAAAATTTAATTGCTGTTTCCGCTTAATCAAGTCGCAAAATAAATTTAACTTACAGATTTGCATTTAACAAAAAATGTTCCTTTACGCCAGGGTAAGTGCTGAGGTACGAGTGAAATATTTCATGGAGAATAACTTGACTACGTTTGACCTATTTGAGTGCTGTGATTAGGCATTAAATAAACGAGATTTGGTTTTTCGTTTTGTTGATCGAAACAATCGTAAAGCAGAAAGTTGCAGAAACCAAAAAAAAGAATGGAGGAAATATATGGCACAAAAACAGAAGAAATTAAATC